TTTCTTTCCTTCCTTCCTTCCTTCCTTCCTTCCTTCCTTCCTTCCTTCCTTCCTTCCTTCCTTTCTTTCTTTCTTTTTCCCTTTTTTATTTTTTCCTTTAACCCCAATACCATCTTATTTTAATGCCCAGAGATAGAAGCAGAGAAAATCTAGGTGAGGTAGGAGAGCTGAAAGACTGTCCTTTTTCTGCCTCATCTGAGTCCCTGCCACAGCTACTAGCTGTGGGGAAACTAAGAAAGAGCATGATTAGTCTGAGACTCTTGGAAGATTGGGATCTTTTATTACCATATGTCATCTAGAGATATATTGATTTGTGCTCACTGAAGCCTGGAAGCAGGAACATCCACCCTCATGATACTGCATTCTTCATCACCACCGTCATCTCATCTTGAGCAGGGACATCTGCTGTACTCCCAATGTACCCCAGACTTGTGTGGCTGGGAAAGAGCTGGCAAAGGTGAGCCTGCCTACTTGCTGCTTTCAGACCCATTCCTCCCTTCCCTGTCTTGCTCAGATTGCTGAAGGCTGGCCCCTACAAACCACAGTTCCTAGGTTTCTGTGCCCACTTTCTATCCAGCCTTGTTTTGGACAGTGGCTACATCTCTAGCAGTGACTACTTTTCCTCCTAGAACCCAAGCCTGTCACTCATCCCCTGCCCTGTTTCTGGCCCTCACCACCATGGTCTTTCTCCCATGGATGCAGCTCCTGCTCTATAAACCTCTGTCTACACGTAGCCTCTTTCCTGCTCTCCCTGCCTCCAGCCCATCCTGACCACAGTCCACCCTGCATTAGGTCCCAGAGGGTCCATTCACAGGCTATCCTTACTCAGAAAATACACTTTACTCAATTAGGCCTACTTCATCCAGACCAAACATACCAGACCTTTCTCATGTCCTGCTACTTCAAAATCCAAGAGAGGAGAGTTTTAAGGAGAAGCTAATCAGGCACCATAGAGAAGTCCTGTAATAAAAGGGTTGAAATTAATGTCTTGGGATGTAGAACCTCCTTCTAGGAAGGTCTAAAGGGAGGAGCCACTTCAGTAATGTGGTCAGAACCAGTGATGAGGTCACAAGTCAAAGTGCATTGGATGAAAGAATAATACAAATATACATGGATTCTTGGTCCTATGAAATGCTAGAATCAAGAGAGGCAAATGAGAAAAGCACTGTTGTTAAAGATAGTTTGCAAGTTGTCTTGTTACATTTTCTATGTGGGATTTAAGGAAAGTGGGGCATGCTTTAACAGAATCACACATTCGCCCTTCCTGTGGCTTGGCAATTGGAAAAGATTAAGGAAATGTGCTGCTGCCATTGCTATTGAAGACAAGAGGTCATTCACCCACATGCCTTTTAAACCAGAATTTTAAACATTTTAGCCCCTGGATGGCTAAAAAATATTGCTAAAGAAAGGTTGCAGATCTGAAAATTGGAGGAAAGTGATCATGTTATCGGATATTTTAGAATATAACTTTTCTAAAGAATGTGTTTGTCTTACAACAGATTCTGTAGAAACCGAGCTTGAAATGAGGATTCTTGTTCAACTGATTTATTAGAGGACGGCTCTTGGGGTTAGGGGAGGGAAGAAAGCTAGATAGGGAAGGGGAAAAGCTAAGCAAGCAGTTGATCTCAGCTGGAAACTCCCATCAGATTGATCTCACAGAGGAGCTCTGATATGTGAATTACTCTACAGAGTTGGTCCCAGTGGTGGTTTTAATTTATGTTCTCAATTTTGTGACCTCCTTCCTTCAAAAGTTGCAGCTTAATTCCTCTCTGCTTGATTGTGAGCAGGATTTAGTGACTTGCCTCTAATAATTAGAATAAGGCCTGTGTGATTCCATGCAGCTTCTGAGGTGAAATCATCCAAAGCTTTGCCACACTGCCCTATTCTCCTGGGTTGCTCACTCTGGGGAAAGCCAGTGGTCAAGTCATGAGGAGTCTCAGGCATCCATGGATGAGGCCCATGTTATAGCAACTGAGCATCCTGACAACAACCAGAATCATCTTGCCAGCCAGGTGAGTGAACCACCCTGGAAGAGGTCTTCCCACCTCAA